GGTGAGCCCTGCTCACGACATAGAAGATACTCTGGCTAAATAGCTGACTAAAGGGGTATGGGGAGGGAAAACTGAATTACCTACTTCCACCTCAATGATGTGGACTTGTCCTCTGTTGAGAGTTGAATTGTAGCTCCTGGTCCCGGCTCTCAACTCGTTGTAGGGAACGCCCCCACACACACACTGATGCTCTGATGCTCTCTCCAGGAACTCAATCAACACTCAAAAACGCATCTTCACTGTGCTCTATTCTCTGCAGGCCTGTGCTCCTTAACTTCTTGAAGGGTTGGAGTGGGTCTCCTGGCCATCGACTTCTCCTCACAACTACGTCTGCAGTTCTTTTTCTCGGCTGCAGTCGTCCTGATTCCCAGCTAGTTTCTTTCCTCTCGTGCCTCGCGGTGGATTGGCCCAGCCGCTACGTCGTCACCTAAACTGGTGAAACTGAACAGTTGTCCCGGACGTCATTGCTCAGACTTCACTTCTTGCAACACACCTGTCACTGGAGCACTTGCTGCTCAATACTCGTCAATGCCTTCTACGGTCCAACACATGGAATACAGGAAGACCTCACAGGGTGCTTGCAGACTACAGGATGATGCGTAAATCCACCGGATCTGGGACTAAAACTGTCAGACTGACAGGACCCCCTATCACACGTCCGACCTCCTCGACGTGTCGTGTCAAACTCCTGGGCGCCATGGCCCTCGCCGTCCACTGGCGTCACAACATCTTGGCGGGAAAACGTAGTGTCCGGCGCCATCTTGGCGTCCTAAAGGGCCTAAACCACTGGCCAAAACACTCTTCTTTTGCGAATTTCTCGCCACATTACATATATAAGAAAGACCATATATAAACGTGCCCTTTTTTATTCCTTTAAAAGGCCTAAAAAGGCATTCACGATTGTTTTAATATCTGTGGAAGCTTATGATGGAATGATGGGGGACCCCCTTGAATAGAGCCCCTTGAGCTCCATTCAAGGGGTTCTATTATGAATTAAGATTTAGCACATTACCTATTATCGGTAGAATTGTTGAGGATCGTGATTCAACAAACATTGATGTACGAAACGTGTACTGCTTTCCTCAATCGTGACGGCTAGGTTTGCACTTATGGTAAAGCCTACGAACGGGCTACGAGGATATCTTACAAAAGATAATACCCTTGAGCAGAGAGCGACCTCGCAGTTAAGATGTACAGGCTTCGTAAGTGATGTCGTTAACATTTGACAAATTCTGACCAAGGTTACTACTTGAATGCTTAAGAGTTATTGCTTGGCACTGCTGAGTGGTGGTTCGCTGTTGGAGGTGTGGTGCGCCCCCTAGCCAGAGCTCCGGCTGGCGGTATGGGGGTGGCTGGTAGCTGCAGTGTTCGCCGTGTGGACACTATACTGCTGGATTTTTCTGCTGAAGTGGATTGGCCCATTGTGGAGATTGCTCTCCTTGACGTGCTTCATGTGGACGTCTCTAATCTCTCGAGACTGGAGAAGCTGTTGCCTACCCGTGTGGCGGTGTCATTTGCCACATCCCTTGTTTACTGGGAGTTTGTGGCACGCTGGGATGAACGGTCACTTACTCTTCCTAATTTGGCTGTGACTGTGGAGATCTCAGATCCCTGGGGGCCCCTTGACTTTTGTGAGTGTCCACGGTCTGCCGGTGATCTTCCCTGAGGCAGAGCTCATGTCCTTGTTTACGAGGTTTGGTGCAGTGGTGAAGCACAGGTTTACCACTCTGAGTGCTGGCTGGCTGAAGGGGATCCGTCTGGGTGCTCGTACATTTTTCATGAGGGTCATAGCCCTATTCCTTCTCGGGTTTGTTTTGTGGGCTCTCTCTGCGGATATTCTGTCAGGGTTAGACGCTCACTTGTACCCGGTGTGGTGCAGAAAGCCTTGTCGCGGCCGGCTGCAACGCTCCATGTGCTGAGGCCCCTGCTGTTTTTCTGGAGGATGATTTTCCTCGCTTGTCTGTGTGTGAGGATTCCCCGTTGGGTCCTTGCTCTATGGTAGTGCCTGGTGTGGTTCCGGCAGCGGTTGCAGCTGTGGCTGTGGGATCTATGACGGATCATAGATCTGGCTATGATCCGTCTGCCTTACCGGGAGCCCCTGCAGACCTGGGGGCCCCTGCTTCGGTTATGGAGCCTCCTACTGAGCTCGGCCTGGTACCCCATGTGGTTGAGGATGTTGCTGTTCTGCGGATAGTGTCAGTTCGCCTGGCTTGTGGTACCTGTGTTTCCAGGTCGACATCCAGCTCTGATGATGTGTGGCCGGAACCCAAGCGTTCTCGGCGTTCTTCTTCTGCCTGGGCTGATGCGGGAGATTTCGACGACTGTGGATCTTCCGGCTACGGCGGGGTAGCTCCTGTTGCGTCATATTCTTCGGTGATGGCGGAGGTGCATGTGCCTGCAGCTGCCGATGTCAGTGTCTCGGACTTCCCTTCTGGTGTGGTGCCTGTGGATCTTGCTTCGTGTGCATCGGATGGTTCCGGTTCTTCGTGGGGGTAAGTTTCCTCTGATGCGGTTCATGGTGAGCGTGGGTGACCTGGTAGTGATGTTGAAAAAGGCTGCTCGCTCTGGGGGTTCCTTGCCCTTTTCCTCGTTCTCTGTTTCATCGGAGGCGATCTTGCCGCCTCTTGAGTATCAGGCCGTCTCTTCTGTATCTCCTGAGATGTCAGTGGAAGTGTTACCGTCTCACCAGCCTTTGCCTTTGTCTCGGCTGCCTTCGCCTTCGTCTCGGCTGCCTTCGCCTTCGTCTCGGCTGCCTTCGTCTCGGCTGCCTTCGCCTTCGTCTCGGCTGCCTTCGCCTTCGTCTCGGCTGCCTTCGCCTTCTCCTCCTGGGTGTCCGGCGGCGAGGCCGTCTCGGCAGCCTACGTCTATTTCTTCGGTGTCTTCTGCTTCCACGGAGGGAGTGGTTCACCCTCTCCTGCCGCATTATGCGACCTGTGTCGCCCAGGTTCGGGAGCGGCCGTTTCCGCCTGATTTGGTGATTCCTGAGTTTATGCTGGCCCTGCAGGTGCAGGGAAATCATTCCCCTACCGAGAAGGAGAATTTGATATGGGAGGCCAATAAGAGGAAGTATCCTTAGGGGACTTGTAAAATGTCTTCTTATCCCGTGTTTTTTTCTTTGCTATGTGTTGTGGCTGTGTTTACATTTGTGTTCATGGATGTGCGGTGGGGGTTGCATGTGTGTGTGTGTGTGTGTGTGTGGGGCGGAAGTATTTTCCCAGTTCCTGCATGCTCCGGGGTTTGTGGCTGTGGGTTTATTTTTGTTGGGAGAGGGGTTTGGGTGCTATGTATTGTACTGTTGTCATTTCCGTACTGTATTACATTGTGTTTGGGTTTATTGTTGTTGTTTTTTGTTGTAAGCCCTTCCAGGCAGTATTTTGTAATATTATACTTTTGTGCTCTGCTTGTTTGTTCTAGTTTTACACCCCATTATGTTGTGGGTGGTGGTTGTCTTTGTTATTTTTAGTTATTATTACTTATGTCTTATCTATGTTGTGTATTGTCTTTTTTCTATGTCATGTACTGTTTGTAGTTCTGTATTGTTTGTGTATTGTACGTTTTCCTGTGCCTCCTTGTATGTGCATTGTTACGAACCCAAGTTCCCCGTCGGAGCACGGAGCAGTGACATCAACGCCATCTGTGAGTCCGCTCCCGAAACCCCCACGAAATGGACGACGCCATCTAGTGGTGGCAGGAAAATGCCAGCTAAACATTCTAGATTCTTGTCCTGGTAGCTCGTGAGGTAGCCACTGCTAACCTCTGGTGAGGTGGCGCTCAGAACATCAGCGCCATCTATGGAGCGAAAAGGTGGATGTTTGTGTCCAAAACAGTAAGTGATGTTTCCTGGTGGTTCCCATGTAGTGTCCCAATACTGATGATGTGTCTGTTTTCACAGAGTCAACCTAGGACGGCTGTTATGTACGATGAATCAGTCTACCCAAGGCAGCCAAGGTCTCTTCACCAGTCTGCTTTGTAGAAGCAGTGAGCCGCCACCGGACGAGCACCGCGAGTGTTCAACAGTCTGCCTGAGGAGTGGCAGTGACGGAATTCGTCGTAACCAGGGCTGGCTGGTGGAAGAGACGTCCGACTGGGTGCCGAACGAGAAGAGTAACCAGCGAGTTACACAAGGTTCCTGCCTAGGGCTCGCAACCCTAGTATTCGTCGTGGAGTGGCCTAACAGCGAGGCTGATTGGTACCTGCCCGATACAGGCTGGACTGTGGTTGTGGGCCATCACGACAAGGCACCCAGTGGAATTGTGATTTGGCTGGCCTGTGGCCAGGGTAGATTCATCGTGGTGTCCTGGAAACCAGGAAACCAGGCAAGTCTGCACGAAGTGAGCGTCGTCAAGTGTTCAGCGTCTTCAGAGGGAGGAAAAGAATATATATAGAGAAAAGTGATAATCTTGTGTATTTAATGTACCTCCCCCTCTTTATTTTTCTTGCATTATGGAGCACACCCCTTCAAAGCCTCTACTAACTTGGGGCCGGATACCCAAACTCTAAAACCATCAGAGAAGAACCCGGTTGCAACCCAGTAGGGCCGTAACATGCATTATGTGTGTTTCATGGTTTTTTGTTGTATTATTTCATGTGTTGGCACGATTGTTTGTATCAGTATGTTGTTCTTTCCTTTCCTTGTTGACTGTTTTGTACATTTTTTTATTGATATAAACAAAAAACTTGAATGCTTAACGGGCTGCGAGAGTCACGTGAAGCTGCTCAGTAGTGAACATAGGTGTTGGATTAAGCTGGAGAACAGTGGGCATTTTGATGGTAGAATCAGCATAGTAATAAAGCTGAATTTCCATCTCGATATCGGGGTTCAACTCGCCGGTATCTAGACAGATGTCAATGACAGTGTTATCAAACTTACAAATACTGGATAAACGGGCAGCCAAAGTGCTGTCAATCTCACAAAGAACGGGGAAAGGAAGCTGTAGTTAACGATGTTTCAATCCAACGAGCAACGGTGAGACCGAGCCTCCTGGAGGGTTCAAACTTACCAATAACGGAGAGGTTAGAGATAAAGGTGAGCGTGGGGTTGATCCTGAAGTCAACCCTGCAGCGGTAGATGCCTTCGTCGGGAGTCTGCACTCGCTGGATGTTGAGGGCGTTCCTGGCCGCCTCGAAGGTGGCGCGAAGCCCCAGGTGGTCCGGACTCTTCCAGTGTGTCGCTGGACCGTTCCTCATGTCGTAGCTGCCGGCAGGAGACAAGCTTTAGGTTACTAGGGTGAGTTACTAGGGTCAGTAATTAGGGTCAGTAACTAGGGTGAGTTACTAGGGTCAGTAACTAGGGTGAGTTACTAGGGTCATTAACTAGGGTGAGTTACTAGGGTCAGTAACTAGGGTGAGTTACTATGGTCAGTAACTAGGGTGAGTTACTAGGGTCAGCTACTAGGGTGAGTTACTAGGGTCTGCTACTAGGGTGAGTTACTAGGGTGTGCTACTAGGGTGAGTTACTAGGGTCAGCTACTAGGGTGAGTTACTAGGGTCAGCTACTAGGGTGAGTTACTAGGGTCAGCTACTAGGGTGAGTTACTAGGGTCAGCTACTAGGGTGAGTTACTAGGGTCAGCTACTAGGGTGAGTTACTAGGGTCAGCTACTAGGGTGAGTTACTAGGGTCAACTACTAGGGTCAGCTACTAGGGTGACCACCTCCCCGCTCAGCTCGTTGTCGCCGTGTGGGGGCTTAGTGGACGGCTGCCGGAGTGTGATGCTCCTGGGGACAGTCCTCTGTCCTTTTCTAGCCTTGTGCTCCTGCTGCCGTCCTCTCCAATTCTGCTGGGCATCTTTTCCTTTTCCTTCTGTTTCATTTTTCTCCCCCCTCTTCTCCTATCTGCTTGCCGTTTCCCGCCGACCTTTTGCTCGTTCTGGTTCTTCCCTTGGACTTCTTCTATTTTGACGCCCGGGTGCTTGAGGAGGCATACTCTTGCACCCGTAGAACTGTAGTACCCGACGTCGAGAGCGAGGGGAACCTTTTATTGTCAATCCCCCTTTCGTCACTGAACCCGATCTCGACGGACTGTCGGTTTCTTAAGGTGACGTTTGTGGGGCATATACTCACGACGCACCCCTAGGAGGCCCCGGCAAGATCGGCGATAGCTTCTTGTTGGGTGTCCTGCCTCTAATTGTGGCTCCATGGTGGGTGTGGGGGCACATTCGTGAATGAATTCTTTTTTCGTCATGATGATAACCCCTGTTTCGGCTGCTTCTGGTGTACCTTCTCAGGCTCGTGGGGTGTGCGACCAAGCCCCCGAGTTGGTCCGTATTGGAAGACCGGGCTCTGTAGCCTCCGCTGCATTGGGCCCCGACCTTGCTCCTCCTTTGGCCTCTCTGACTCCTTCCCCTGGCTCCCCTCCCTCCTCTGTGGTTGGGTCGAGCCCCAAGCTCCCAGTGGTGACTACCTCGTCCCCTGGCGTGTCTCCTTCTCTGGTTGTAACTACTGCGCCTTTTAACCCCTCTCTCTCTGGGGGTTCTCACCGCCGTCCTCGTCACGGCCTCCCTCGCTCGATTCCTTCCATTTCTGCTACCTATCAAGCCTTGTTTGGTCCCGCGTCGTGGGCCAAATATTTTGATCTCCTCCCTCTTGATTCTGTGCCTCCTGACGATTTCTCCCTCCATCGACATCTCGTTGATTCCGTGGATGACTCCATTACTTTCAACCCCACTCCTCTCGGTACACGTGTCGTTGCTGCTCCTTCTCAGGATGCTGCTTCCCGCTTGGCTGCCTTATCCTGCCTTGGCGAGACCCCTGTTCGGGTCTCGAAGAACGCTCAGTTGAATGCCAGTGTTGGCACTATTTTGCTCCCGCCCCATGTTGCGACCGGTGTTCGGGACCTGCGCGACTGCCACGACGATATTCGACATATCCTTGCTTCCCAGGGCCATTCTATTCTCCAGGTGGACACGTTTACTCGTCCCCCTCGTGGTAGTCGCCGTCAACCCCTCCGGGTTGTGAAGATTACCTTTGATGGTAGGACCCTTCCACCCTCTGTCATTCTTGCTGGTGCCAGGTGCTCTGTCCAGGAGTACATTCCTTCTCCTCGGCTCTGCAACAAGTGCTGGAGGTTTGGGCATGGTGCCCTCCGCTGCTCCGGGACTGTCTCTCTCTGTCCTTTGTGTGGTGGCGAAGGTCACTCTAAGTCGGAGTGCACTTCTCCCCAGGCTCGTTGCCTCAACTGCGGTGAGGCCCATCCTACCTTCTCCCGTGCATGTGTCCATTTCAAGCTTGAGGCAGCCGTCCTCAACTTGAAGCACCGGGAGCGTTTATCTTTTCCTGAGGCGAGACGCCAGGTTCGCCGGCTCCCGCCTTATGCTAATATCTCTTATGCTCGCGTGTTGCGCTCTTCCTCTCCTCGTCCTTCCCGCCTTCCACAGACTCACAACCGTTTCCGGGCCTTGGACCCTGATGCGCCCACTACCCCCTCCTCTGTTCCTTTGGGTTCTCTCCCGAAGGATTCTCCTGGTCCTCTGTCCGGGGTTCCCCTTCCTTCCACCCGGTCTGTCGTGTCTCCAGTGTCTTCTTCCTCGTCCCCCTCCGGTCTTCCTTCCCATCCTCTTCCTCCATCTATCGGCTCTCCCCACCGCCTGTCGGTGCGGGCGGATGTCCATCGCTCTCCTAGCGGCCGTCGTGTGTGCTCTCGTTCGGCTTCTCCTGTTGAGACACTGGAATCCGTTGCCCGGTACGTAGTTGCTGGGACACCGGTCTCTTTAAGTCAGAAGCGTAAGCCTGGCTCCTCTCCTTCCTCTTCCTCGGCGGGTAAGAAGGCTTCGCTTTCTTCCTCAGCTCCTACGTCTGGTTCTGTTGCTCCTTCCCCTCCCGTTTCAGTGATTGCGCCCCCTGTTCCTGCTATGGAGGTTTCTTTGGCCCCTGCTTCCCTTTCGGTTGCTGCTCTTGCTGGGGTGCGCTCCCCTCTTTCTACTCCCCCTCTTCCTGCTGCTGTCCTTGACTGCTCCTCCCCGTTGTCTCCTCCTCTTCCTCCTCCTCCTCCTCCTCCGGACCCCGCCCGCCCCCCTCTGATCTGTTCTCCCGTTTCCTTCCCTCCGTCTTTGCTCAGTTTACCCATGCCCCCTAACCCTGACTTTGCTGACCCTGATCCCGACCCTGATATTCTTTAACGTGCTCTGTTGCTCTTTCGCCTTGGTTTCTTCCTTGTTCTTTGGTTTTGTCCTTTCTCTTCTCGTCGTTGTCCATTCTTCAATGGAACGTTCGAGGTTATTACGCCAATTTCCTCGAACTCCAACTTCTGATTTCGCGGTTTTCGCCCCTTTGTGTCTGTCTCCAGGAGCCAATGCTTGGTGCTCGTCCTGGTCGTTTTCGTGGCTATTCCTTTCTCTCCCCCCCCCCAGCCATTGCTGGGGCTTCTAATTCTTCTGCTCTCTTGATTCGTGCTGATGTTCCCTTTGTTCCTTTACTTTTTCCTTCGCCTCTCCATTGTTCTGCTGCTCGTATCTTTGTGGGGAAATGGTACACAGTTTGTTCCATTTATCTCCCCCCGAGTGTCCCGCACTCTCTTCCTGATTTGAGACACCTCCTAGACTCCTTGCCGGAGCCTGTGCTCCTGCTGGGTGACTTCAATTGTCGTCATTCCCTTTGGGGTGACGTTCTGACGAATACCCGGGGTCGCCTCCTTGAGCCGTTTCTCCTCTCTTCTTCCCTGTCTCTTCTGAATTCTGGTGAGCCCACTCATTTGGACTCTCGGACTCGCACTCTTTCTTTTCTTGATCTTTCTCTCTGCTCTTCTTCTCTTTACTTAGATTTCACGTGGCAGGTTCTTGATGACCTCCATGGAAGTGATCATTTCCCCATCCTTGTTTCCCTTTTCTCTTTTCGCCCTTCCCTCTCTTTCCCTAGGTGGCAGTTTGCTAAGGCAGACTGGACCCTATTTACCCTCAGTGCTGCTCTCTCTGACCTCTCCCTTCTGCCTCTCTCTCGCGCTCTCCTCCTTTTTCATGACACCTTCTTCAACGCTGCCCTCCGCTCTATTCCTCGCTCTTCCTCTCGGGGTCCGCGGAAGTGCGTTCCCTGGTGGAATGCGGACTGTGCTCGGGCTGTCCGCTGTAAGCGTGCAGCCTGGAAGAGGCACCACCGTACGCAGACGACCGATTCTTTTTTCTTTCGGAAAGCGAGTGCGGTGGCCCGTAGGGCCATCCGTATGGCTAAACGTGAATGTTGGTCATCTTATGTCCCAACAATTACGTCCGAAACTCCCCTGACCCAGATCAGGAAGCGTATCCGCAAGATAGCGGGTAAGTTCGTTCCCGATGTTTCACCGGTCCTTCACCTCCATGATACTCTTGTGGCGGACCCGTTGCAGGTCGCTTCCGAACTGGGTTCCCACTTTTCTTCTGTTAGCTCTGGTCTTCATCTTCCCCAATCTTTCCTTCTTCGTAAACCTGTCCTTGAGTCTCATCCTTTAGATTTCTGCACTCATCTTCAGCTTCCCTATAATGATCCCTTCTCTCTCTCTGAACTTCGTTCTGCCCTGGCCCTCTGCGGTTCTACGGCGGCGGGCTCCGATGGTATTCATTATGAGATGCTTCGCCATCTCCCTCCGAGCACGTCTCAGTATTTACTGAGTCTGTATAATCGGATCTGGGAGTCGTCGTCAGTCCCCGAGGACTGGCTCGATGCCGTTGTCCTCCCTGTTCGCAAACCGGGGTCTCTGGGTACTACCCCTAAGGACTTTCGCCCTATTGCTCTCACAAGTTGTGTCTGCAAACTCTTTGAACGTATGGTTAACGTTCGTCTGATGTGGTTCCTGGAACACCATCACCTTCTCTCCCCTTCTCAATTTGGTTTCCGCAAGTGCCGCAGCACGACAGATGTCCTGGTGAACTTGGAGGTTTATATTTGTACTGCTTTTGCTGCGAAGACCTCCGTTGTTTCCGTCCTTTTTGACCTGGAAAAGGCTTATGACACCACTTGGCGTTATCATATCCTATCTCAACTTCATTCTTTTGGCCTTCTTGGTCATCTCCCTCTCTTTCTCCGCAGCTTCCTCTCTCGTCGTTCCTTTCGGGTGCGCCTTGGTACCGTTCTCTCTCCCTCTTTTCAGCAATACGAAGGTGTGCCCCAGGGTAGTGTTCTGAGCACTACTCTTTTTCTGGTTGCCCTCAATGGTCTTCTTTCCTCTCTTCCTTCTGGTGTCTTCTCTGCTCTCTATGTCGATGATCTTACCCTTTGTTGTCAGGGTGA